GTGTTTGGATTTTTTAAAGGACTGTAGGACTTTTAAGGTGTACTGTCTTATGTTGTGATATTAATGTTAACATCATATCTTGGAGACAAGAAATGGAAAGGTTATGGTTTAATAGTGATGTGTCTGTGTGTCAAGTTGACAAAGGGTAAATTGTGCTGGACACAATTTAGTGTCAACTTGACACACTTGGGTAGAGGGAGCCTCAACTGAGGAATTTCTTCCATTGGGCTGGCCTATGGCCATGTCTGTGGGGTATTTTCATGATTGTTGAGTGATGTGGGAGGGCCCAGGCCACTGTGGGTGGTGCCACCCCTGGGAAGGTTGCTGTGTATTGTATAAGAAAGCAGGCTGAGCAGGGCCAGGGGAGCAAGCCAGTAAGCAGCGTTCCTCCATGGCCTGTGCTCCAGCTCCTGCCTTCAGGTTCCTTCCCTGAGTTCCTACTTTGGGCTCCCTGATGAACTGTGACCCAGGAGATGTAAGATAAATAAACCCTTTCCTCCCCAAGTTGGTAATGGTCAGAGTATTTTGTCACAGCAGTGGAGAGACAAACTAGAACAACCACACTTTGAAATTGATGTTCTAGAGAAACTTTCCATAGGAGTGGGGATTTTCTTTTTTACCATGGCATTTTTATAATAGTGAAATTAGAACCAATAGACATGACCATCACTAGGAGAATGGATGAATACATTGGCACCTATTGATATAGTGAAATACTATTTGGTAGTGAAAAATGAGTGAACTAGATGTCAATTTGCACACAATCCCCAAACTAGAAAACAACTTTAAAAAATAAAGTGATACTTACTGTGAACTATTATTTAAAGTCAAAGTCAAAGGGGATCAGTGTTTAAGAGCACTGACTACTCTTCCAGAGGACCTGGGTTCTGTTCCCAGCACCCACGTGGAGACTCACAGCCTCTGTAACTCCAGTTCCAGGGGATCCTGTGTCCCCTTCTGGGCTCCACAGGCACCACAGGCACTAGGCGCCCACATGGGCCCCTTACATACACGCAGGCAAAATACACACATAAAAAATAAAAATAAATTTTTTTAAAAAGTCAAAACAATAAACAAACTACAGGTTGTTTTATAGACATATGCAATGTACCTATAAGGTGCAAGTATGATATGTTAATATGTATATATGATGTGTGTATATCTGCGTGTGTGTCTCAATGTGTTCTGTGGTTCTGTAACAGAATACTTGAGACTGGGTGATTTGTTTACTTTTCTTTTGGGGGGTCTTTTTGAGACACAATCTTCCTGTCCCCCAAACTAGGTGGAACTCACTATGTAGACCAGGTTGGCCTTGGTCTCACAGAGATCTGCCTGCCTCTGCCTGTGGAGTGCTGGGATTAAAGACATGAACCACCATGCTTGACTCAAGACTGGGTAATTTGTGACAGATTTGTTGTTTGTGGTTCTGGAGCTGGGATTTAAGGTCAAGGGTTGCTGCAGAGCAGGGGCCTTCTACACTGCCATCCTAAGGAGGAGGCACCAGAGCCCGAGAGGGGGATGAGCGCAGTTGAACACTGGCACTCCTGGAGTGATGACATTTATCCATCTATAAGGGCAGAGTCCCGGGGACCTCGTCACTGCTTAGAAGTCTTACTTGTGGTCAACAAAGTGGTGCTGGGGGCTACGTTTCCAGCACAAAGAACTTTGATAATGCAGGGAGGAAGAAGGAAGGAAGGGGAGAGAGAGAGAGAGAGAGAGAGAGAGAGAGAGAGAAAGAGAGAGGGGGGGCAAATGGAGAGACACTGAGATTAGCAGAAGAGAGAGGGAGAGAGGGAGAGACAGAGGGAAAGAGGAGCCCTGGTTTTCTAAATCTAACAGGGTTAGGGTCACTTCTGAGGAAAGAGGAAGGATGTTCAGGGAGGACAGGGTGTGTGTGCAGGTGTGCAGGTGTGCAGGCTGTGAAGGGTTTGCAGCTGTGCAGGTGTGCAGGCTGTGAAGGGTTTGCAGCTGTGCAGGTGTGCAGGAAGCACCCTGGGGCAAGGTAGTATCGAGTTACAATTTGATAGATCTGGGTGATGAAAGTCATTATATCATCCTCTGCTTTGAAGCATTATGTTATCAAAAAACTTTAAAGGAGCTCCAGAATGGAGAAGTTTTTATCGGAAATATTTCATTTTACTTTAAATATCACAATCTTGGGTCTAAATTATATACTTGGTGTGAGCTACTCATAAAGGTTTTAAATAACTTTTTAGTTTGAAATTTTTAAAAATTAAGAATTCCAAAATATCTTTTACTATTTATTATTTATTTATTTATTATTTACTAAGTGGATGGGTGATGGGTATATAAACTGCTCACTTGTCACCGAGCACATGTGGAGGTCCCAGGACAACTTTGTGGAGTGGCTGCATCCCTCAACCTTTCTATGGGTTCTGGGATTGGGTGGGAGGGAACTCAGGCCTCCAGATCAGTGCTTTCTCATTGGCCCATGAAAGTGCCTTTTAGGAGAGTTCACCAGTTGTCTGCTTTTGTCCCATGTGCTTCAGCGGATCTCTGTACATGTGCACTTCACCTCCTCTCTGCCTCTGCCTCTCCTCTCACAGACACACTTGTAACGGTTAATCTTGGTTGTTTAATACACCTGGGAAGAGGGAACTTCAGCTGAGGAATTTCTTCCATCGGACTGGCCTGTGTCCATGTCTGTGGGGCATTTTATCCATTGCTAATTGATGCGGGCAGGTCAAGCCCACTGTAGACCATCCCTGGGCAGGTGGGCCTGGCTGTGTAAGAAAGGTAGCTGAGCAGGTCAGGGAATGTGAGTCAGTAAGCAGTGTTCCTCCATAGTCTCTGCTTCCCTTCCAATCTTGAGTTCCTGCCTTGGCTTCCCTCGATGATGTGGAAGCTCATCACTCGGGAGCAGGCTTTGGGAGGCCTTATCCCATGTCTAGTTTCCCTCTCTGCTTACTGTGTGTACTTGAAGATGCAGGTGCTCAGCTTTCCCCTCTGACTGCCTCGATCATGGTGGGCTCTTATCTCTCTGGAACTGTAAGCCCAATAAACTTTTCCTTCTATAAGTTGCCTTGGCCATGGTGTTTTATCACAGCAACTGAAAGGTAACTGATATAGTCCATGTTTTATCACAGCAACACAAAGCAAATTAGAACAGGTCTGTTTACTGCTGGGTTTGTCTTCTGTTTCCACATTCTTTCACGTGGACATTTTGGAGAGGGAGGAAGGTTGTTGTAACATAAATTACAAACGAGACAAGTAATTCTCAGTGAAAAGTGCCAAGTTCTATTATTCTAACGATTGTTATAAATAAAGGGAAGGGGGAGGAGAACAGAATAGAAGCCAGTTAAGTCCCACCAGCAGCTGACATTTGGTGTTAAGTCATATGTGTACATACAAAGCCTTCTGTGCTGACTGAATTGATGGGATTATCTCCTTTGTAGGTCAATCATGGAGCAGTAGGGCATGTTGGGGTTGAATGTCTCTGTCATTGATGCATCAGAATCCTTTGGTTAGTTTTCCTACATTTAGAGAAGAGGTGACCATGAATTGAGATGTAACAAACAGCTGTGCTGGACAGCTTCAGTCGTCAACTTGACACTCTTGGGAAGAGGAAACCTCAACTGAGAAATTGTCTCTATCAGATTGACCTGTGGCTGTGGCTGTGGGCATTTTCTTGATTACTGATTGATGTGGGAGGGCCCAGCCTACTGTGGGTGGTGCCTCTCCTGGGCACGTGATCCTGTATTGTTTAAGAAAGTAGGCTGAGCACGGGCCAGAGGGAACAGGCCAGTAAGCAGCGTTCCTCCAAGGTCTGTACTTCACTTCCGACCTTGAGTTCTGCCCTGGCTTCCCTCAGGGATGAACTGTGATCAGGATGTATAAGCCAAATAAACCCTTTCTTCCCTGTGTTGGTTTTAATTAGTGTTTTATCACAATAGAGAAACCAAAGTAGAACAGCTATCAACAGTGAATGCTGGGGATGGCGATGCAGCTCAGAGCTACAGATGTAGCTCAGTGGTAGAGCTCTTGCCTAGTGTGCACAAGGCCCTGGGTTCCATCCCCAGGACCATAAAACCAAAGTCCTAAATGCAGAAGTTCTTTTTGATTATTTCTCAGTTTAGATTTATGTTACTTCAAACATTTGCTATGGGACTTTGAGAAGTACACTCCCCACTAATTAATTAATGTCATTTGTGTTTTTAAGGTCAACGTGATTAACAGCTTCCAACAAGAAACTGATGATTGTCCTAATCACACAAAGGTGGGTTTGGAAGCCACTTCTAATAAAAGAAGCTAGCTCTGCCCTTTACCCACAGACTGCATGTGATTTTGAATTCTTTTGTGTCCTGTCAACATTTGGTTCGCAGAGAACGGAATTGTAACTAGATGTGGCCTTCTAGAGTCTCAAAGTACTGTCAACAAGCCTGGGATGATGCTTTTATGTCTAATTAGAATATGAGCAACCTGAGATTTCCAGAAACCAGCTGCACAGCTAGCCTGTAGGCTTGTCCACACCACTTTCTTGTTTGTTAGATTGAAATACAGAGGGCCTGATTTCTTCTAGTTCGGGGGATGGGGTCTGAAGCATACACTGTGAACCTTACCCACGCTCTGATGCCGCCTGGGTACTCTCTACTCGGTATTTCCCTTTCCATCCATTTGCTTTATAAGGAAGTCATTAGAAAAAGCTTTTCATTGCAGATAAAATTTAATGTGAAAATAAGTGTATGTGTCCAGAAATCAGTTTCACATGTAGTAAGTAGATAGAGTTGTAAAGTATGTATCATGAGGAGCAAGCTGTGGTATTTATTTCTACCCAGAATCCTTTGCCTGGCAAGTATCTGAGACCGAGGTCTAAAGCTAAGTCTGTGTGTCTGTGTTGCAGTAACTTTTCTTGGGGGTGGGGTAATGTGAACAAAGTCATTCATTCTCTTCATTCTGGAGAGGCATCAATGACAGACCGAAGGGACAGTTCCACTGTGCTGGATACCTTTAGCTGTCACCTTGACACACCTGGTTACACGGACCCTCCATTGAGGAACTGTCTCCATTGGCCCGTGGCCATGTCTGTGGGGAATTTTCTTGATTGCTGAGTGATGTGGGAGTGCCCAGACCACTGTGGGCATACTATCCCTGGGCAGGTAGTCTGTGTTGCATAAAAAAGCAGGCTTAACATAGAGAAGCAAGCCAGTGAGCAGTGTATAGCCATGGTCCGTACTCCAGGTTCCTGCCTTGACTTCCCTTGATGATGAACTATGCCATAAGCCAAATTAACCCTTTCTCCCTGTTTTAGTCAGTGGTTTTTTTTTTTATCACAGCAATAAAAAGCTAACTAAGACATCAGCCAAGACTAGCTTACAAACCAGTGAGCTTATTGGGCACATGGGTAAAGTGTGGGTTAGGGATCAGGGGAGCCTGGGTGACCCACAGACAGTTTCATCACTGAAGAGCCCCACCATCCCAGCATGCAGGATGACTTCTTCATGGCTACACATAGATAGAATCCCCTTCAGGTAAACTCCCACCCTCTAAATACTGTAGTTCCTCAGAAGATCACACGTGGCTGGGGCAGTGTTCCATGGAGATGGGAGGGAAGCACAGGAGAAAGCAGCTGGTGAGGTTCTGATGACCCTCCTCACCCCTCATTCTTTGAGGGGACACCAACAGATCCCATCTTGTTGGGGGTCTCTTGTGGGTAGGGACAGCTGCTCTGATTAAGATAGTTATGGCTGTGTACTTGGAGGGCCATATTCCCCAACTCGTGTGTGTGTGTGTGTGTGTATTCCTGTGTGTGCTTGCATGTGTGTGTATTTGCATGTGCATATGTGTGCTTGTATTGTGTGGTACTATTCCTGGGGAATACATGACAAAATATTACTCATTCTAGATAGGAAACCGATGAGAGGTCAAAGTAAGGACACCACCAAAGTCCAACTTGGTGAACCAATGAGTTTATTGGGGTTACTTACAGGAGTGTGGGTGAGGGGGGTGACTTACAGGAACAGAAATAACTCATAGACAGCTGTGTTAGATTTTTGGAGAATAAATGGAAATAGAGGAGTAGGAGACCAGAAACCAGAGCCAGACCTGCAACAGGCAAGGAGTAGATCTTCTATATTCAAAGAAGATACAGTGACAGGTAGAGGCAGTCTGCGGGAACCAAGCTTCTACAACTAGACAAAGACATCGGGAGTTTTATAAGAAAGTTGTGAGACACAGCTGCACTTTGTGGGGAGTTGAATTAGTGCCCAGATTTGGTGTCCTTGAGGGTCTCTTTTCTCAGACAGGTGGGTGAGTTATCTATAGCACTAAAGGAGACAGGTGGGCTCCACAAACAGTCTCTCTCTCAGTCCTGGGAGTGACCAGTTGGTAAGGCTTGAGCAAGGCCAGGCTGCTGATTTAGGGCCAGTTAGACACTTTAGAGGATTTATGGCTTTCCTTAATGAGGCTCGTGGCTCTTCTGCAATTCACATATTTTATCGGGCTCTATCACCAAAAGTCCATCCTCGGAGGGGTGATGACTCATGAAAGCTAGAACCCACAGAGCTCTCTGCGGAGATTTCAGGCAGTTCCATGGATTGAAGAGTCTCCTCTCCTCACTGTTGATATAACTTTGAAGTGGGTGATGGCCTTGTTTCAGGGACTTCCTGAAACCTGTGAGTTGTTTACTTCCCAGGTTTTAAAACATTTTTACTTATTTCTTCATTTATTTTTATGTGTACAGTGTTTTTCCTGCATATATGTAAGTGAACCTGGCTAGTAGACATCAAAAGCCCGTTGTCCCCAAAAGGAGACTTTATTGTCAATGATTTCAGTAAGATTGAGAGATTGAGGAGAGGGAGTATCTTTCTGGCAGCTGTTTGCATATTAGCATAGGACACACATTGGTATGTAACAAACAGAGATCTTGAATGCCATGTCTGCATAGTCCCTAAAGTTATAAAATCATTGGGTGACTTGTGCCTCATGCTTAAGGAATGACAACAGCTCTTAAAAGGACAGATACTCGCAATGTTCAAGCTCAGGCAGTTGCTGTGTGTGCAAGGGGCAGAATCTCTGAGTTACCTCCATGCTGGCTGGTCCGTAAATCCAGCCAGCCTGCCTCACTGCCAACTTCATGGTCACTGTCATCCTGCAACCCACAGAGAGAGAGCCACCAGCCTCTGCAGCGATCCAAGAGAAGATGGGTCCTTACCACCCTGGAGCTGGAGGAGGAAGACACAGGGCCCTTTCCCAAACTCATTGGTGAGGTAAGGACACACTCAGACTTCTCTGACCCCTTTGGGAGGGAGGTGTAGGTCTTGAAAGGATTCTTGCTGGTCATGATTCATTATCCCTTCGGGGAAAGAAACAAAGATCATCCAGTTCATTTTAGAAAGGGCTTTGACTGAGCTGGCTTGCTGTGTGCCTGGCTCGCCTTAAGGCCAGGCAACTAAGTGGAGTAGACACAATGCTGGACTGGGACTTGGACTGCCAGGGTTCTGGGAACCAGGCTTCTTCCATCCCAGGGCACAGCTTTGGCCCAGTGACCTCTCCTTGTCTCTGTGATGAGAATAATTTCAGCCTGCAGGTCTATTGCACTGACCCTGTGCAGTCATTCATTTTTTTTTATTTCATTGTGTGAATGTAAGGAGATAGTGTTAAAAATTCTGCACTCCTGCAGGATATGCTGATGCACACCCACAAAATTCCAGCACTTGGGCCAGTGAGACAGCTCAGTGGGTACAGGCGTTTACAAAAAGACCGACTACCTGAATTTGGTCCTCGGGACCCACATGGTGGAAGGAGAGAACCAACTACTGTAAAATGTCCTCTGACCTCCACAGAGCACCAGCACCATTACACACACACACACACACACACACACACACACACACACACACATGTTTGTTTTAATAAAAAGGGTCAGGAAAGTACAGATCATAGTAAGTCACCCAGTCAGAGTGCTTCCTAAAAGCAAGCTGCCTGGTTTTTGATTCTCTCTCTCAAGAGACATTCAATATTAATAGATTGGCATGTGCTCTTCCAGATGTGTATATGCAGATTTAGGCATGTGAATGTGTGTTAAAGAACCAAGGTGACACTGTCTGTGTGGCTCTATAACTTGCCTTTCTTGCTTAAGGATGTGGCTTCCAGTCTTTCCCTGGCAGTGCAGACCCTTGCTTGAAGGAGGCAGAGCATCCCAGGCCTGGGAAGGCACATCAGTGCATGATTCTTTCTGTTCTGATGGATATTCATGATATGTCCAGTTTCTCACTGTTATAGACCAAACTGCATCCAAGATCTTTTTAAAAAGAATTTATTATTTTTTTAATTTAATTTTAATTTTTAACAGTGTGTGGGGGGGCGGGTATGGGTGTGTGCATGTGAGCAGGTTCCTACGGAAGCAAGAAGTATCAGATCTTCCTGGACCTGGAGTAACAGGCAGCTTATAAGCTATCCAATGTGGGTGCTGGCAACCGAGCTTAACCACTGAGCCATCTCTCCAGCCCCAAATTTTATTTTTATTATTTTAATGATGTGTATGTGCATGTCTGTGTGGGGGTTTGTACACATGAGGTCCATGGTCTAAGAGGCCAGAGGCATCAGATCTCCTGGGACCAGAGATACAAGCAGTTGTGAGCGGCATGATATTGGTGTTGGAAACTGAACCTGGGTCCTCTGAAAGAGCAGTATGGACTTTCATTCACTGGGCCATCTCTCCAGCCCCCTGTACCCAGTATCTTTGTTCCCACATCTTTGCACAGCTGTTTGTGTCTCTGGTGCAAACCCTCAGATGTGTAATGACTTACAATTCCTGAGACAAGCCTCTGATTCTTAGCTGCGGTTCCTGGGGGTCATCCTGACTTGTTCTCATTCTCCTTTTTATCTTTGCTGTTTTTACCCTTCTAGCTGTTCAATAACATGTCGAGTAATATGTCACTGATGTATTTAGTCAGCGGACCTGGCGTGGATGAATTTCCAGAGATTGGATTATTCTCTATAGATGATCACAACAATGGAAAGATATATGTTCATCGTCCTGTGGATCGAGAAATGACGCCGTCTTTTATGGTACCTAAAATTTGGTATTGTACAAGCTTGGATTTACTGTAAAGTTCTTGTAGGACTGTGGAACATGACAAGCATTATGCAGCTTGTTTCTGTCAGAATCTGAGGATGCATTATCCACTGAGGCATCCCTGGAGGTATACATGGGGCCAACTCCGGTGTCTTCTTTAGAGTTTAGTGACATCAGCTATAGGTGTGTGGTGCTATAGGCCTACTTTCTGATGACCAGTGTCCCAACAGTGTTAGGAGATCTGAAGGCATTTGGGGATGGAGTCATAGAACATCTATACATTTTGGGTTAGTTTCTGATGGGTGACATTTGGAACATGGAGACCAGCTACACACAGACCCAGTGGTTGCCCAGTAACCACTGAATGAGGGCTTGCCTGCCCATTGACAATGTCTTATCAAGCTTCAGGTAGCTTTAATGATTTTTATCACTGTAACTCCATGACCTTCTATGAAGTTGAAATTCAGGTTCCAAACCAGCAGGGGAAATTATGATGGGTAACCATCCTTTATTCTGCCCTGTAGAGCTGCGCAAACAGGATGTGGTTGCTTGTTGACTCCTTAAGAGTGTGAAGGTGTTGCTTACCATCTGAGAAAATAATTTATGAAGCTTTCCCTTAGTAGCATCAAAATATTTATATGCACAATAAAATATGTCCTTAAGTCAGTGAAAGACTCTGAATCATTTCTAAAGAGGAGAAATGCTCCCCAAACCCCACCAGATGCACCACTTTGACTCTGCAGGTCTCCTCTATCAACATGATTCCTGCCTCCCTGTCTTTAGAATTTACAGTGTTGTTAAAAAGAAAAAATATATAAAAGGGCTGCTGAGTGGAGCGTCTCAATTTTTAATGAACATACCATCTAGGAATCATGGTAGAAAGCGGACTCTGGACTGGGGAGATGGCTCAGTCCTACCGTGGGTAAAGTGATTACTGTGCGAGTATGAGGACTTGAATTTGATATGGGCAGAACCCATGTAAGATGCAGGGGGTGGTCTCAGAGCTGGAGAAACAGGGATGGGAAGATCCTAAGAGGCTGCTGGCCAGCCAGTCCAGCCAAATTGGTGAGCTCCAAGTTGAGTGAGAGACCCTATTTCAGTAAGATGGAGAGGGGACGGAGGAAGATACTGTGAATCCCTGGCCTCCACACACAGGCACATGTATATGCACATGCACCTGCATACTCATGAGCGCACACATACACATATGCACACATGCATACACACACACACACACACACACAAGTGAAGTTGGGTGGGGCTCTGATGTGGCTCTGGGACTGCTGTTCCCAGGCTACTGAGTGGGGAGTGCCTGGCCCACCATAGCAGCAGGGGCCGCATAAGGATGGAACCAAACCTTTGCATTCCACTGTGACTGTCCCTGGTTGTTTGATTTAAACATTGTAATTAATTACTTTTATTTGGGCTTTTGAGACAGCTCTCACTATATAGCCCCAGCTGATCTGGAGCTCTTTATGTAGATCAGGCTGGCCTCGATCTCGCAGAGATCTTCCTGCCTCTGTCTGCCAAGTGCTGGGATTAAAGGCCTGTGCCACCATGCCTAGTGTTTTAAATATTTTAAATGATGTACTCCAAGCTGCCAGTCATGGACTCAACAGGAGATTTGATGCCTAGCAGCTGATAATGCTGAGGCCCAGACCCTAGGAGCTTTTCCTGAAAATTAGCATTGAGTTGGATGAATGGCTCCTATCACAGATAGTAGACTGAACAATGGTTGTATGTTAAACACTCTCACCAAAGGAAGTGCACTGTATCCCGGGGGCCTGCTGTGTCAGGCTCTCCAGGCCCTGTGCTTGGATCTCCCTAGGTGAGTTTCCCCAAAGTGCTGGTCACAGCTGTCTTTTTGGGGGTTTTGTATATATTTATTTATTGGGGGGGTCATGGTGTGCATGGTGAAGTCAGAGGATGATTCATGGAAGTTGTAAAGTTTCTTTTACCATAAAAAGTCCAGGTCTTCAGGCTTGGTGGCAAGTACTCGCAACCGCTGAGCCATCTCCCAGCCCAGAGTTGTCTTTTTCATTTTTGTGTGTGTACATGTGTGTTTGTGTGTGTACATGTGTGTTTGTGTGCATGGGGCGGTCAGGTGCCTTCCTCTATTGCGCTCCACATCTGACTTCCACCCAGCACTCTGGCTTACACACATGTTAATAAATAATAACTTATTTTAATAAGACTGGTCAGGAAAGTACAGCTCCTAGTAAACCACATGGTCAGAGCTCTTCCTAAAAGTGAGCTGGTTTTCTCTTCCTTCTCTCAAGGGACAATCAATGTTAGCAAATTGTACGTGCCCCTTCTGCTGTGGTGCAGGTCTAGGTGCATGAGTATGTGCTAAACCCAGGGCTCACCTATTTATTGGACTGGGTGTCCAGCAAGCTCAGGGGATCCAGCTCTCTTCACTCCCTGGACTGTGTGTTGGAGTGTTGGAGATAAATGCATGCTGTTGTGACTGGCTTTTATGTGGGTGCTGGGGAATCCCAGCTTGGATCCTCATGCTTCCATGGAAGGCACGGTACCATTTAAGCCATCTCTGTAGCCCCCCACAACTGTCTTTTTATGTAGATTTGTGTACACATTTATGTAAATATGCAAATTCTACTAAAAGTCAAGCTACCTGGTTCTCCCAATTGACTACAGCCTTTCACAAGGGAAGATGCAGGGTGGCGCTCCTGAGCTGGCACCACGTGCCCTTCAGCCTCCACCCCAGGACTTGGCTTTGCTTTCCTTTGCCTTTTCCTCTACGCCAGTGTTTCCAGGAATGCGTACTTTGTGTTTAGTTTTCTGCTGACATTCCATCTCTCCATCAGAATGTGAGTTCTAAGAGGTGAGCGACCCTGGTCTCAGTCAGGGCTGTCTCCCCAGGGTCAAGAGCTGGGTATCGCCTCTTGAGTCTTAATCCACAGCAGCTGTGAATGTGACTTTACTAGACCATAGCATCTTTATAGATACGGTCGAGTTAAGCTGAAGCCGTTCTACACCATTCTGGACTAGGATCAGCCAGTGTCTTCATAAGAGGAAGGAGACTGGGAGACAGAGGGGACATAGGAGCGAAAGCCCCATGGAGATGGAGGTGGAGACTCCAGTGACAGGAATCTCCTGGGTTGCCGGCAGCTGTTGGGGAGTTCTGAGCAGGCTCCATCTTAGAGGCTCTAGAAGAGGCTCCTGTCACTTTGGATTTCAGTCAGCCTCCAGAGTGTGAGGATAAATTTCACTGAAAGCCTGAGAAATGTCACCCTCTGTTTAGGAGCACAGGAAGCCGTTGGATGGGGATTACCAGTTGTGGAAAGTGACATAAGCCAAGTGTCACACGCGTACCTCACAGCTCATCCTGGATAGCAATGGCTTCTCTTCATGGATGCTGATTATTGGTTTTGACAGACTAGAAAAGACAAGACCCTATTAAAAATCAAGCTAACCCTTCATAGCTGCTAAGAGGCATTCTATAGACATGCTGTTCTCCAAAGTATCCTGAGGGGGTTCTCAAAAACTAGACAAAATAATTAGAATTTGGGTTTGGGAGATGGTTAGTGGGGGGAGAGGCTAGCTTGGTAACTCTATAAACGTATAAGAAAGCTGTAAAATCAGCTGAGAATTGATGAGATTTCAGACAGACCCATAAGAGGGAAAAATGCCTTTTTTTTTCCTGTGTAGGAATCTCTATTAAATATGCCCAGTTTCATAGGACACAAATACCTACCCCAACCCATCCTTTTACATTTTTCCAAATAATTATTTTTTGATCTTCACCCCTGAACAGTCATCCTGGCCCACTTCTAACTCATGCATGAGAGTGATTTTTGCGTGTGCCTCTGGCATTTAAGACACTTCAGTCTGCTCATTTGGGTGTGAGGCTATACACCTTGCCCCCGTAATTTCAAATGGCCATATGGCAGTCTGTCATGCTAATGCTGCATGGTTTGTTTATCCAAGGGTGTAAATCTTCGGGCTATAACAAAAGGCTAGAAACCCTTTCCAAGGGCAGAAACACCCGCTATGTTCCCTTTCTCAATTGTGACTGAGTCTCCTGGAATTTCTTAGCATCTTGCCAAAGAATAAACAGTGATCACGCTCCTCTGGCGTCTTCCAGAACCAAAGGTCTCAGGTGTAGCTTTTAAGATAATAAATGGAATATGAAATAATAAACATAAAACAAACAGGCTGTTCTTGTTTAAGTGGGAGGATTACAGTTGGCCCAGTTTGAGAGCCGGAAGTCAGGGTGATTAAGGAGCAGAAAGCTGCCAGAGCCGCCATGAATTATGGAAGAGAACCGAGCAATGGTGTGGGAGAGAGCCAATTTGCTTGCAAAAACTTTAAAAATGTATGTTAGACGCCCTGAAGCGGAGTAGCTCAGAGGCGGAAGCCCCGCAGCATCTTCAGCCTCACCGAGAGGTGCAGTGACCTGGCAGAGACCGAGGCTGCCCGCTCTGGCTCTGACAAACCCTGGTGAGAAATGAGAGGCCAGGCCCGGGGCGCAGGCTCTGCCTTTGTGGACTGGGGTCTGGGCTCCTCTTCTGCCTCTGACGGCCACTCTCTGCTACAGAGCACAGCACGGGGTGCTCCCGAAGGGTTTGTTCCAGGGTGAGAGTCCATTTACTCAGTGACACTGCCGTCTTGCCCCACCGCCCCTGTAGGGAACCTGTTTCCCTTGGTACCCCCGCAGGACCCTGCACCTGCAGTCAAGGAGCCTTGAGGATCTAAGGTGGGTTCTGTTGTGAGTGGTCCTTGCCTTGAGAGCATCTCCATGCTGAGGCTTATGGGTGTCGTGTTCCCTTTGCTACAATCTGAACTCCTGGTTCTCTCTTGGCTCTGTCCCTACCGCCTTCCAGCCTTGAGCAGATAAAACCACTGTGTCCCTGAGCAAGGGGAGACAGCAAGGCAGGCTAGACTCATTTTAAAATACACATACATCACTCTCAAGAGATAGAAATATATTTATTATTGCCTGCTTTTTATTTTATAATTAATGACATTTTAA